TTATATGCGATCACGAGTTCATTGATTGATTGCATGATTACATAATTCACATCAGTTTCTATGTATTTCATGTCCGATATGATTGTAAAATATTCTTATATTTAGTAATACATTAGTTTAAACATATACATTTATTTGTATATTTAAAATGACTTTTGTGTAAACATTATTCAAATCTTATAGATATATTATTTAAGCAAGGTTCTATTTAGTGTACCTAATTGTGCATATCGGTGATAGATTGATGTTAGGGACTGTGCATAGAGTTTTCTGAATTTAATTTCGCTATTTACAAATTTTGAGTATTATAAATAACGGTCTTATTATAACACAAAGAATCAGTCAAATAAACTTAAAATAGTTTTGAAAAATAAAAATAATTTAACTAGAAATTGAAATTTAATGCAAATGTATGAAAAGTTTCAAATTATGTTACTCTGGGACTCCCAAAGTCTGGAAGTAAAAAAAGTTTTGAAAAACTTTTTATGATTAAAAAACGGTTATTAGTCGCCATCTCACGGATTCTTATAAATATTACACAAACTTATTCATTTAAATTTATACATAATCTAAATAACTTAATTAGTATATAAATTATTATAAGGAAGTGTAACACTCACCCAGGTCTACTAGTATAGCGTGTTGTTGTGTAGCCAACTGACCCAATAGTTGTCTGTAAGGCGTGTCCGCATTGGGACTGTCGTTGTCTTTAGTATTTTTCACGCATTTGTAGTGTTGGCTCAAAAATAGCCAAATCTCGCCCTTCTTATGCCGGGGAACTCCTATCAAATATTACCATTAATATTACAAATAAAATATAGGTAGGCTGACCACGCGTTTACCTAATTGTATAGCTTTGAGTAGCCGGTCGTAGGAGACGGGAGTGTGAGTGTGTGTCCGGTGATCAGACACTATGCCGTCCCAGTGTTTGGTGGCGTCCCATAACTGTGTGGCGTCACTGAAGTTAGGGATCTCGTCGTAATCCAATTTCATACGCTTGTCATACGTGCCACCTAGGTCATCTTTAATTATATTGACTAATTAGTAAGGGTGTAAATGGTATTACCGGTAATAGTATTTATCTAGCTATGTTTTAAGACCTTATAATAAGATCCATTTTTAATAAAGAATATTCTGTCATTTTTAATATATTCCTAACTCCTCTATATTTTAATTATTAATTAATGATAAGATTACTTGAGCTACAGGTGCGCCCATACATACCCTTCAACCTCTGGTTTTGTTTATCCATTTTGTTGAGTATAATCTGCTGTCTGATGGCCGACCGCCACAACTCCCGTATCTCTTCTCGAGACCTCTTTTTACGACATATAATTGCATTCATTTCATACGATGTGTCAGAACTTTGTCTCGTTTTGTGCGATGGCTGTGGACTACCGGCCCCTCCATTGCCGGTCATATGAATGCGATTAAAAATAGTCTGCCGCCACGACTGGCCCTGAGATCCTTGTCCTTTAGGCGAACCCTTAGAGCCGCTATCATCAGACTTATTGGGGGTCGACTCGGGCGTCGACACGTTTAGCTTCGACTGTGAGCCCACTTTCATGAATATATTCAACAATGGCTTTGGTTTAGATGCCGGTGTCGTCTTGTGAACAGCCAACGACTCGCTCCGACACATTGTTTTGTCACCAGTGGTATCGGCGCCGTCTTTGGCGATATCCGCGATCTCTGATAATGTGTTACTCCGGGGTCTGAAGTGTAGGGGAGAGTCGTCGGTATT